CCCCAAAACCCCAAAACCCCAAAACCCCAAAACCCCTAAATGACATTATTGTTGAAATAATATTCTAAAAATATGCTAGCTAAAGGTAGCTCTGAATGCAAGGAAACCCTCGGGGTTAAGGAAACAGAAGAGATCAAAGAAGACTCCCAGCCTCTCAAATGAGACATGTGCGATACACCTCTAATGACTGAAGATAGTATCCCTCAGGAAGGAGATAAGAATGTCAGCCATTTAGGGGTTAATATACGGAATTAGCAGAGGAATAGATTTAAAGACCTCTCCACTCGGCTTGAACCTTAATTTAACCAGCAAAGATTCTCCTAATTTTAGCAAATTTCTAACAAATAAGGGAAAAGTCAAATAGCACAGACTATGGAAAGTTTGGAATTGACCAAGAAGCATACAATTCTCACTTGCAAAGAGTATTTAAGGTAGTGATTCTGCGGAAAGAATTCGATTACATTAATAATTTGTATTCGCTAGATTGGGATTTTATGCTTAATATAGACCGTAACAAATCCATCACATCCGTCTCTGGAAACATCCCAGAGCAACTGGGATATCCAGTCAGACGATATCATTGCAACAATGAGGAGTGAGGAAGAAAGTAAGCTCCAAGCTAATAGCTCTGAATATAATCTTGATTTCATGCCTAAGTTTTACTACCACCATTATTTTAAGGTAAAACGAAAATGATCGAAGATTTAAATAGGTGTTCGAAAATGGCAACTGATGAAGGAAAGGCAGAAAACTTCTCCAAAATGCTACCGAGGGGTGATCTCTGGTCAACAATCAAACAGTATAAAGCAAAGTAACGCTTTAGACGTCAGAAATGCCCTTAAAGGAAAATCTCTACTCATCAAGATCGAGAATTTAAGCGAAGTTAGCTCTAATAGTTCGAAGGAGAAGGAACTCGATATAATAGAAGAAGAGAAATATCCAGAAGGGTCAAGAGAAGACGCAAGCCCAATGGTACAAACAAGTAGTAAACCTATAGAAAAACTTGAAGGATCCTAAACAGGAGTTACTAGTTCCTCAAGCTTACCCTAACAATAACCTGACCAGAGGGTCTTGCCCTGAAGTTGTAAGCAAGACTAAAGCTCCCCTTCCAGATACAGCTGCCAAACGGAAGTTTAATAAGGCGATGAAGAAGCAAGCCAAGAGCTATTGAGAAGCCTTCAACCTGAAGAGTTTGAAGAACTATGACTCGAGAGAGATCCTAAAGCAGATGAATCCAGGAGCCAAACCTCGTACTTCGCTTAAGAAGAATGTTAATATATTCGAATCATAAGTTATCTTATATTTTCGATAAAATAGTGTCGGCCTTAAAGCATTGTTATCCGCGATTATTCATTCTGATCTCTTGCCCAACTCTAGTGTACTATGACACGTACCAAGAAGGCATAATAATTTTAAGGAAGTTATAGAGCACGATATGTGAGTTAGGAGAACAATCAGAGTCTGATTGAAGGACTCATGTCTCAAATCTGGACACTTTATGGTTTAGACAAGTTAGCTTATGAGTATTAACGGTTCAAATGAAGCTTTAAATTGGATTTTCATATTTAGACTGACTTTTTTACATTGAAATTCTTGTTTTGTGGGATTTTATAGACATACTCATATTCTTGAGTGGAATCTTTCAAGGAGGTAACCCATCCTTATGTCTCCAAGTCTTCGGTCTTAGTCTTCCTAATTAAAACCAAAAGAGCATAAAATTCATAATAATTCAGAAAATATTTAAATTCATAAAATTTCAGCTTTGTGATTTATATCTGGGGTTTTGGGGTTTTGGGGTTTTGGGGTTTTGGG